CTGTAGACAGATATTCCCTCTGGCTTGTCTAATGCCAGGGTAGGGTTTGCCAGGTTGTGAACCAGGTGGGGCTGACCGGAAGAAAGGCTCAGTAGGCTGCCTATGACAGAGGGGGTCCTTGGAGCTGTGTAGCCAGCCAGGGAACTGGAGCACCTGGAAATCATGAAAGCTCCCAGCTTGTTGGGTAGAGTGCACTCAAACAATTTTGTCTACCTGTCCTTTCTCCTGAGCAGTAAGCTCTGTGCTATCCCTGCCCCTTTAGCAGCCCTCTTTCTAAGGGCTTCCTTGTTAGGAAGTTTCTCAGACTGCCCGCCTTTTTTTTGTCCCAGAGCAGCTGGATATGGACCCCTGCTTTCCACAAGTGGCTGGAATCGCATTCTCTCTAGGGATTCTGCCTATCTTAGCTTTCCAATCCCCTAGTTATGAGAGTATCATGAAAGCACCTTGAAATGTAGGTTTGTGCTCCCAGAGCAGATCTCCGGAGTTAGGTATTCAGCAGTCCCAGCCCTCCACTCCCTCCCTGCTCCATTTCTCTTCCTCCAGTCAGTAAGCTGGGGTAGGGGAAGGGCTTGGGTCCCACCGGGCCACAGCTTTGGTACATTACCCTGCTCCGTGAGGTCTGCTCTTTTCTCCAGGTGCATGCAGTCTGATGCAATCCTCTTTCCTGTTGCTCTTTCAGGAACAGTTGTATTAATTATATTTTCATAGTATTTGTGGTTTTAGGAGGAAGCCTCTGTCTCTCCTCTCATGCTGCCATCTTTAATCCAATCGAGAAGAAGGTTTTCAGTGTATGCAAAAGATTCAGCACCAGTAACCAGACTGCCTACATTTGAATCCTGGTTGTCATTTACTAGCTGAGTGCGATTGGACAAGCTATATAAGTTCTCTATGCCTCAGCTTCCTCGTCTATGAAATGAAGAAAGCAATAGTAATATTTGACAAGATAGTTTGTATTAAGTGCTCTACAGGTGATAGTTTTTATAAGGAATCAAGAAATGAATAGCAATGAAACTAAACCCATTTTGGATTTGTTTCATATATATATATGTGAAATATATATATAAATATTTATACCCATATAATGTGTTGCATGTGCATACAAACACACACACATCTTAAAAAAGGAATCATTAATGAAGAAATTCAAGATATTATATTGCCTTAGAAAGCTATACTCTCATCCTCTTGGAATCAGACTTTTAAGTCCAACGTGTCATTTGGACCACAGAGATAACTAGATGAAGAAAGTACAGCAACTGTGGAAGAATTCATGTCTTACTGAGAAACTACAGCAGAATCCCGGATTACAGAGAAAAGTAATCCTGTCTGTGAGGACAGCCCTGTCAGTGCCCATAAATGCATTGAATTGCAGTGAGGGAAAACCAGCGTTATCTCTAGTAGAACCCCAGCTTAAATTTGCCTCTTTCCACTTCTACTGTGTGTGGTGAAATATTTCCATTGTCAAAATGTACATTTATTTGGCTGTCATATTTTGAAACTATAGTATAATATTCACTCATATTTCCTTGGAAATTTGTGGAATAGAAAACAGATGAGAATAACCAGTCAACATTTAAGAAATATTATGAATAATCAATTTCTTTTTGTAAGTATAATTCCCTAATTCAGAAGGGAATTACAGGTACATATAATGGCTGTTTTCTCTCAAATCTTCCACTTCATTCCTTTCTGCAGCTAAAATCAGAAAAGAAAGTGGATGGTATTGTTGTGCTCTAATATTGGTACCTGCAAAGACAGAAAACAAATTACTTTTCAAAACTCTACCATAGATTCAGGTCATGGATTAGTAACATTAGACAGACCTCACTCAGTTTGATTCCTGCTGTACCTATTATTCAGTGTGGGGCTTAAAATTTCAACTTATGCTTCAGTGCCCTCTTATGTGAAGTGGCCATATTAGTCACACATCCTCATAGGTACTTAGGTACTTGACATAGTATTTGGCACATGCCAAGTACTTAAAATTCTAGTTATCATCATTTTATTGTAAATTTATATAAGCTACTTATACTAAACTAGTAATTGTTTAAATTGCACTAAACCTTTGATTTTTTTAGTGTTTAAGAAAACCCAGCTATTCCATAGTTTGTATTTAACACGTGTATTTTTATCTTCTTGAGTCACAACAGACCTGTTGTTGAAACCTAGACTTTACTATTAGTTCATCAACATCTTTGAACAAAAGGATTTCATATTCAGTTGTTTATTTAAAGCTAAGGTATCAGCAGCCTATATAGCTGAATGAGAATCCTAGAAATGGCATCTCAGCAAATGTGCTGACAAAAAAGCTCCTACCTAGTAAGGGTGTTCTCAGGTAGCAATTTGTTTCCATAGCACCTAGGGAGAGAAAGAAGAATTTTCCGTTAGTTCCCTGAAGTCAAATAACATTCGATAGTTTAAAATTCCAGGTTTGAGTAAGGATGATGGTATTTTCCAAAACACATTAAAAGTTGGTTTTAGAATTTTTGTTGTTCAGTTAGCTGAAAGTCATTCTTAGGCTGTAATTTGAATTCATATTAACATGTAAAAGTTTGATATTTGTTTGACTTTCAAGACTAATTACGCAAATCTATAAAATCTAACATGTCTTTTTTGCTTAATTCAGAAAGGAAAGTAACAAAATATAAAGAAAATATCTCCTTGGTAAAGATGAACTTAGGAGGAGGAATCCAAAAATACTTTAGGATGTGAAGTCAACTATGATTGTAAGTGGGAAGGAAGAGAATTTTGTCATTACTTACTTGTTTTAGAAATGTACTTTTTAAAACTTCTAAGTACTTGGCACTGTGACAAATACATTGGGAACAGAGTCATGTAAAACAGTCTCTGCCTTTAAGAAGTTTCAAGAAGCAAGAAAGGGAGGCTGGGGTATCGGTAGTTATGCCACGCAGTGTGAAAAATGTTTCATTAGCAAATAGATACAGGGGGCTGTCTGTCTGTGATGGAAAGGAAAACATGGAACCAAAAAAAAGTGAGGCAGGAGACAAAAAGGTTACTCAGAAAAAGCAAAACCAATTTTAATAAAGAAAATGTCCTTCCAAAATCAAGCACATTTAATACTTTGTATAATACATCAAAGATTGTCTTGTTCTTTAAAATATCTTTTCTCCAAATGATTCTGAGGCTCAATCATGATTACAGGATACATGAAATTAAGTATATTAGCATGACATAAGTGCTCCATACACTATATAATGCATTATTTATAAGACTCCACAAGGCATACTGTTTATACAAGTTTACTTGGGCTAAATGAAGTGTTCCCAGTTTTCAGGTATTTATCCCCACTCCTCAGGGTAAACATTCTTTTAAGATTGTACCTTGGTGTCCTTCTTTGAGAGATGGACATTGAAGGTTGAAAATGAGTTACTATATAGGCACCGATGGAAAATACACAATGTGTTTTTATACACTGTAAGCTGGAAATGCCCTTTGAATTACATGTACTTATGCTAGAAAGCTTGGCAAACACTGAACAGTCTGTGAAGAATGGAAAACCTCTGGACCACCCATTCAAATGAATATAATTCAACTATTTGCAGCAATACTAATTTACTTATTAAACTACTCTGAAATCTTTTGGTTGTCAGGTAGTTTTGAAGTTAGGGAACAGAATTCCCACTTAATACTTGTGGATGGCCCAATTCCCCATGATACTCACAGCTGAGAAGTATTTTTTAAATGCATTTGTATCTTGTGATAACCAATTAGGAACAAATTAAATCCTGTCTTAAAATTTTAAAAAATATGCAAAATACCCCTGAAAGACTTCACACTCTAGGTATGCAGGACACAGACACCCTCAGCTCCACATTCTGAGAGCAGCTTTCACCTGCTGTCGCCTCTGTAACAGACAGAAACAATGCCTGTCATCACATCAGGACTGCCCAGTCTACTGATGATCTAGTCTAATCACAATGGCCCAACCCGGGTCAGGTGCAGTGCTTCTAAAGTCAGTTAACAGCAATACTTGAAAGAAATTTCATTCCAATAAATGCCATATAAAAGCCTTTATAGCATATGCATAAGTTTACAAAAAAGCACTTCAAGGATGTCTGGTCAAAACTACGGCCAGAAGATTCCAAAGCCCATATATTTTGTTTCAAATGTAATTATGGAAGCTACAACAAAAGCAGTAAAAAGCAAGACAAGAAACTCTTGGTCTTTCTTAAATGACTTCAACCCCCTTCCTTGGGAGGACAGGTCACGAAAGCATATTGTGCTTGTTTATGACAGATGTTGTCTGGGACCACATGCGACAGCAGTGTCAGATTTTTTCATTATCATCGATTTTTTTAAATGCCACTGGGCTTGCTTGCTTCAAAGAAGTCTTAGAAACATCTGTGTGCATGGTAGACATGGCTATTGTCTCATAGTCATCATCCCGAGATCGGAAATCACAAAAGTTGAAGAAGAACTGCAAATCTCTCTGAAAGTTTTTGTTCAGGAATCCATAAAATATGGGGTTGACACAGGTGGATATCATTGCTGTTAGGTGGCAGAGCAGGAATAACAGATTATGATTGCACGTAGCAATGATCTGATGATTCCAATCAAACACAGTGTTAAAGATGGTAAGGGGCAGCCAGCAGACCGCAAACGCCGCCACGATGGACAGCAGCATGACGTTGATTCTTTTGGTTTCACTGGACCTGTACTTATTATCTCTCATCTTGTCCATCATGTTGTTTCTCCTTTTTAAGCGTATATATATCTATAGAGAAAAAAAAACAACAGTGAGTTCAAATAGAACCATACATTTAAGAAGGACTTCAGTGGAAAGCAGGTAAAAATGGAAATGGTAAGGGTGAAAGGTTTTCTTACCTTGAAGTAGCAGATGAATATAAAACAGAGTGGGCCAAAATACTGCAGTACCAAGAGGAGAGTGGTGTAAGACAACCGATGAGAGTCTGATGGAAATTTGTCAAAGCACACGTATTTGTCCTTGAATGCGTCAAGTGTTACATTTTGGAATGGCTCATCAGTCAATACCTGATAGATCAGGAAGGGCAGAGAAGAAACCACAGCAAGGACCCAAATGACAGCAATGCCCACGTAAGCATGTCTGTTGCTGGGTCTCCACCCTCTTGGGTTGATGATCAGCTGATGTCGTTCCACAGCAATGAGAACCAGAGAGAAGATGGACACGGTGACTGAAACACATTGCACGAAAGGATTCAACTTGCACATCGCCTCACCAAAAACCCAGTGGTCCATCAGCGTGTAGACAAACGTGAAGGGGAGACACATGATGGCAACGAGCAAGTCGGAGAAGGAAAGGTTCACGATCAGGATGTTGGTGACGTTTCTCATCTCCTTTTGTTTCAGGATGATTACAATCAAGGCCAGGTTCCCAGAGACCCCAAGAATTATCACGGCCCCATAAGCAAGAGCTAATGTAAATATCATGGCCAAGGGCAGATGACAATCATCATTTTCAAAAGCAAAAAACTGAGAGTTCTCTGAAAAATTACAGAAGATAGAATGATTTTCAACCTGGGAAAACAATGTTGAATTCATTTTGATTGGTTTGGTTGTTTTAGATTACTTTAGACAAATAGACAATATATTTTTTTCAAAACAGGTCAAACATTCATCTTATTCTCCATATTGGAATCCATTTATCAAAATTATTCTGAATTCTTCATTCTCTTCAACTGAACAATCTGTAATGAGAAAATGACCAATTGCATTACTAATTTTATTGAAGGCATCAAAATGAATTCTGACTCATTCCAGTGCTTACAATGAAGACACCAATATAGACAACAAAATGTAATCTGTATAAACATCTTTTTAAAACAGCAGAAAGTGTAAACATTTTGAAAACAATCTCATAATAGTTTTAATTGGACTTGTTAACACACTGAATTTCAGCAAGAAGTAGTGGTTTGAAATTAGTAAGGCATGTGTAAATCTCATACCCAAAGTCTTATATAAGCTACTATAAGCACATTTATAAATACTGTACACTGTCATGTATAACAAAAAACTTAACACACAGATTAAAACATAAGAAAAAGATATGAAACAAAGAAAAATTTACCTAATTCTCTCTTTTACTACAGAAATGAAAGAATCCGTTAAGTTGTAATAATAGCTCCACCATACACTGAGCTGCTGCTTAAGACAGACATTATTTAGTACAAGTATATTCCAAAGGACATGATCAATGTAGTGAAACATCGAAAAACTTAGTCATATGAGGGACAGAAAACGCTTAACCCAGGAAGACTTAACAGATGCTTAATTGAGAAAAGACTTAATAGGAATGGTATAGGTGTCTTCTCATATTTGAATGGTGTCATATGGCATGGGGAACTGAGCTTAGAATATATGTCTAACTCCACAAGTTAGAAGGAGGACCAAGTGAAATGTATTACAGCATATGTTAAATCAAATTTCACATCATTATGAGGAACAAAAGTTTAATCAAATGGAATGAACTGCCTGCAAAACTAGTAAATGCTGCATACACAAACGTTTGTTAGGAGATTCAACTGGGTAACTCTGAAGTCCTTTCTAACTTTAAGATTGTATGATTGTATTAATATGTTGGACACTTTCAAAAGATTTCTAAAGTTTTATTCATGTAAATATCCTCCCTCCCCACTAAATCATATAGAAATAAAATGTAGGGATCTGAATTTTAGTTGTAATTTTGATCTTTCACAGCATTTTGTGACATACTCTTTCCTTACCAAGACAAATCACAGACACTAGTCTTGTAGAGATTAAAAATGTTTTTTAAAAAAATCTTATTTTCCCTAGATTATTCATATAGATGGGTTTTCTTATGTTAATTATCAGGCGATTGTGCCTGTTTCAAGAAAGGGAGTTGCATTTATTTCTTTTTATATGGGAACAATAAGGAAAATCATGTAGACTTACTTTCATTGAAAAGGAGATAAGAAACTTAATGAACAAAAAATGCATTTGCCTCCTAAGTGGTGCCTCTAAGGAACCTTTCCTTGAGTGCTTTTGCTTTCTAGCATATGGAGTGTTCTTTATTATAAAACCACAACTTGGCTTTGTGAAACTGAAGAAGAATAAAAGTAAAGGTTGCTAACACTTAGTGTGAATTGAAGTATTAAGACTAGGAATGGGAGTGGAATGATTTCAAGTGTAAATACTATTAGAAATGTGGCTCTCCACACCTCTGTGCGACAATCTGTAATGACCTCTACTCTTACCCAGTTAGTCACACTTTTTTCTCAAGAATACCAAAGGCAGGGAGGATAATCTGTGTCTCTCAATATCTGAGAACAAACACTGAAGAAGCAAGGAACAGGCTAACATTTCTTTGGAAAATTTTCAATTAAGAATTCAAGAAAATTTTGCATCATACTTCATATTCAGGTTGCTATCAAGATATTTAACATTCTGTATCAGTTAATTGTGAGTTTTTCTTTATTAATGAGAGTAAAACAAGCATGATAGGAAAGTGTGTCCTCTTTTATCTTTCGACTTCTCAGGGCTCCCTGTCACCATGAACCACCAGGTAAGTACTCAGTATAGGACACGAGGTCTGGACTACTGAGTACATTCCTCAGTCTGGATAACTTGAAGACCTCTACATTATGCTACCCTTTGCCTTTGTATTCCTTGTTCTAGTGACCCCATTGTGAATACTCTGTTCAGGCCACCAGTCTCTTTACAGCAAGGCCCCCTTCGCTTTCAAGCTTCTGCATCTTTGCCTCTGCCATGCCTCTTGCTTAATGTTCTGTCTCATCGTCAGTCCAAATTCTACCCATCTTTCAAAGCACCCATTTAGTCCCATGAATCCTTAGCTGGCCCCTTTTATTATAATATAACCTCCTTAATGTACGTACTGGTATACCTCATAGTACTTTGCAAATACTGGGTTTAGAATAAAAATGTGTTGACTGAAATAGTAGATGCATGGTTAGAACAGTATATTCTTGTGTGAGTTAATCTTAACATCGATTGCTGAACTCTATCATAGCACTTTTACAGGCAAAATAGGCACTAGTTACAACAGTCGTGTAATTAGATCATGTATATAGGGAAAAATGTTCTACTTTGTGTTAAAAAAAAGGAACTTTTTAGAAGAAAATTCATTCATCCAATAAGTATTTATTGGACATTTATTTTGTGTCAGGCATGGCTGTAGTGGAGACAGCAGTGACTTTCCCATAGCATTTCTAGTTTTGAGGGCAGAGAAAGATAAGAAAAACTAAACTGGTAAACAAGTGCTATGGAGAAACTTTAAGCAAGGAGGGGGAACTGGGATTTTTGGGCGCTGCAGTTTATCCCTGGGTGGTAGGGAAGACCCTGCCTGCCTGAGAAGATGGCATGTGATCAAAGACCTGACAGTGGAGAATGAAGAAGCCATGTAGATCTCTCAGGGATGGCATCTCATGTGGAAAGAACGAACATAAAATCCTTAAGGCTGGAGTGTATCTGGGGTGTAAATACAAGAAGAAGTGTAATAAATCAGGGAGAGATTAGTAGAAAATTCACTGGTAAAGGTGAGCAGAGGAGGAGCAGGCTGTGCAGGCAGTCTGCAGGACAGTCACTGACGTCTCTGGGAAGGATGGGAAGTCACTGGAGAGTCTTGGTCAAGGTGTGAAGTTATATGGCTTGTTGTAAAATTATTACTCTAGCGGCTGTTTTCAGCAGACTTAGGAAAAGAAGCAAGAGATTCATTAAGAGGCTAGTCCAACAAGCCAGATGCGAGAGAACAGAGATGCAGACAATACCCATCTTTCAAAGCACCCATTTAGTCCCATGAATCCTTAGCTGGCCCCTTTTATTATAATATAACCTCCTTAATGTACGTACTGGTATACCTCATAGTACTTTGCAAATACTGGGTTTAGAATAAAAATGTGTTGACTGAAATAGTAGATGCATGGTTAGAACAGTATATTCTTGTGTGAGTTAATCTTAACATCGATTGCTGAACTCTATCATAGCACTTTTACAGGCAAAATAGGCACTAGTTACAACAGTCGTGTAATTAGATCATGTATATAGGGAAAAATGTTCTACTTTGTGTTAAAAAAAAGGAACTTTTTAGAAGAAAATTCATTCATCCAATAAGTATTTATTGGACATTTATTTTGTGTCAGGCATGGCTGTAGTGGAGACAGCAGTGACTTTCCCATAGCATTTCTAGTTTTGAGGGCAGAGAAAGATAAGAAAAACTAAACTGGTAAACAAGTGCTATGGAGAAACTTTAAGCAAGGAGGGGGAACTGGGATTTTTGGGCGCTGCAGTTTATCCCTGGGTGGTAGGGAAGACCCTGCCTGCCTGAGAAGATGGCATGTGATCAAAGACCTGACAGTGGAGAATGAAGAAGCCATGTAGATCTCTCAGGGATGGCATCTCATGTGGAAAGAACGAACATAAAATCCTTAAGGCTGGAGTGTATCTGGGGTGTAAATACAAGAAGAAGTGTAATAAATCAGGGAGAGATTAGTAGAAAATTCACTGGTAAAGGTGAGCAGAGGAGGAGCAGGCTGTGCAGGCAGTCTGCAGGACAGTCACTGACGTCTCTGGGAAGGATGGGAAGTCACTGGAGAGTCTTGGTCAAGGTGTGAAGTTATACGGCTTGTTGTAAAATTATTACTCTAGCGGCTGTTTTCAGCAGACTTAGGAAAAGAAGCAAGAGATTCATTAAGAGGCTAGTCCAACAAGCCAGATGCGAGAGAACAGAGATGCAGACAAAGGTGTCAACCATGAAAAGGAAAAAAACAGACATTTTACATTACTGACTTACTTTGACAAAAATTCACTACACATGGGAATTAATGCAAACATTCATTATATTATTAAAATGTATGGGCTACAAAGACAGCTTTCTTGCAGATGAGTTTGAATTTAGTTAAATACACTAAAATTCTACTCTTGATACCTTTGAATTTACATTTGATTGACATGCCCTGTGAGGAACAGTCTTCCTCCTAAGGAGAAGTTAACTTAGCTATACAGAAAATGCAAACTTTATGTTTAGAAAGCGATTGCAAGCCTCCTTTGCTTAAGTGTATGTTTGGTAGTCATTCGCGTTTGGTAAAACAGTTCTGTATTGGATAAAATGTGTATTTTGGGCTTACTTCATTATAATGTCAATAAAAACAATTGTCAGGAAATAACACTAAGAAAAAAATAATTTACATAAATTCTCTTCACAAAAGAAAATAATTTGATATTTACTATTCCAACGTATATTTCTAAAATAAGGTGTGCAACAAAGATATGGCAAAAATCAAAGTTTGTTAAAGCTCAACAGAGCTGCCATGTGCATTTAGAGACAAAACAGAGACACTACGTACATCAGCAGTTGGCAAAACGTCTCGCTCCCAAAGGGCAGTTTCCTTCTCCTTTCCAAGTAGAATGCTGGCCTTTCACTGCTAGCTGTTCTTAGTGGTGCTGCTACCTGAAAATATAGCTTTCTGGTCATAACCTGCTGAAAATACAGATGAATTTTTGGATGTTCACCTCACTTGTTTTATAAAAGAAATGCCAGCCTTGTTACATACAGACTCCCAAAATTACTGTTCATTTATCTACATGACTTACATAATTGTCTGTTCCTTTTTCTCTGGGAAGGGCTTGTTCAACAGACAGCTTTAAAACAGTAAGCACAGAATAATAAAGCAGTAGTCACCCACCGAAAAGCACTCAGGCTTTAGTCATGGGCGGGTAACTGAGCCAGATACCTTCTGCTGGCTCTTCCTTCACCGGGGAAGCAGCTCAGAGTGGGGGAACTGTCAGCTGCTGTTTCTTTGTTTCTGCCCAGGCAGAGACAGGCAAGCTCTGCACTTTCCCCTGCCTCTGTGCCACCTAGCAAGTTACACGTTCCTACCGGATCCAGGTAAGCACGCAAATCTGAGCTCTGGGGAAAAAAGGAAAGATAAAACTGTCAAGACACACTCTGCCCCTTTCCCCTCCCCTAGTTTTTTCCTGCGTTACAGGACTTACTAAAGGACCAAACTGAATGTGTTAAATCAAAATTCCTGTCGGCAGGCTTAGGCACCACTCTCTTTCTGATACTGTATACTAGGCGAAATGCCCCAAATTTCCCTCATTCCTGATTCACCCCCTCTACCCCCCCCACCCCACACACACGTTTGCCACCATCTATCACGGAACGTCTCTACCCGTGATGATGAGAGACTGACAAACAGAAAATACTCAAAACCCAAGCAGACCCCAAACTCCAACAGCTCTCTGTGGCCCGAAATCCTTAAAGCACTCGCCTCTGCGGTCCACACCACCTCGGCCCCCGCGCCGTCTGCTAACCCAGCCGGGCCCCACCAGCATTGCTCCAACGGGGCTGAAGAGCTCGGATCAAACTCGGAATGCGGAGCGCAGGGCTGGCGGTCCATCTGGCGTGGCGGCGCACGGCGAGGGCGCGGGGGCCACTCCGGCCGCGCCCCTGCGCTCCCCGCGGGATCCCGCTTCCCCAGGCATCCCCGCCGCCCGGCCCGCCGCGAAAGCTCCCGCGCAGCGCCCGGCGGGGGCTCCAGCCGCTCCCGAGAGGTGCCGACCGCGAGCGCGGCGGGGGCGGGCCGCCTGCGCCCCGGGAGCAGCGCGCGCGGGTGCCGCGGACTCCGGGCTCCGGCGTGCGCCCCGCGCCACGGGCAGGAGGGCGTCCGAGCCGTCCGGGTGCTGGGCCCACGCCCACCCCGGCCCTCGCGTGCTGCCTCTCCGCCCACCCTTCGCCCCAGCGATGAGGGGTCTCTCCAAAGTCCCTGAAAAGAAGTGAACTTGAAACTTACCCTCTGTGGGGTCCGCCTTGCTCGCCCTGTCAAAGCGGGAAGGGTGGTCGTGGAACGGGCAGGGAGGGAAAAAGATGCGCCGGCATTTCGCCGCTGCAGTCCTGAAGATCGGTGAAGACAGGGAGACGCCCCTTAAAGCCGAACTCCACCTCGTCCCGGGTCACGTGACGGCGCCCCGAGGCCGCCCCCCGCCCCCCACGGACCCCTCGCCCTGGCTGTTTCCCGCGGAGTGCGCTGCCGGGAATTCCGCAGAGAAAAGCAGTTACACACGTCTGCACTGTTAGACGCGCGCGCGCCGCGGAGCGGTCGCGTTCATCCCCGCCCGGCCCTGACTCCGGAGGGCAGGGCAGTTGCACCGCGGTTCGAAAGCCCGGCCTCGGTTCGCTTTTGTTCGCAGCCCAGTGCCATCTCGTGGCCGCGCTCACACCAGCTGGGGGATTAGGGACGCGAAAAGGGAGCGTGGAATTCACCGCAGCAGTGCCACTAGTTATTTTTCTTGCTTTCTTTTTGTGGCGTTCAAATATTTCTCACACCAGTGCCGAGAAGTTTTTCCTCTCATTTTAAAAGTGAACAAAGAGCAGACTTTAAAAAAGTAAAAGTAGCGAGTTCCGGGTGAGATACGCCTTGTCTGACTTGTTCCCAGCGCATAGCTGCTTTTCTCAGGGGAGCACAATGAACGGAATTTCCCTGGTGGTCAAAAAGAGTCAATGCTATTTCCTCCGTGCTTAAACTGCTCCTGCACTGAACATTGTGAAGAATGGAATGGAAAGTCCCCAGTACATTAATAGTGGCAAAACCACCTTGGTACCAGTGATTCAGGCTCATTACGGACACACGATCTTCGATGTTGTATGTAGTTCAATTCTACTTTGAAAAGTCAAAGTTGTGTGATTCTCTTTCTCTCTCTCTCTCTCTCTCTGCTCTCACACACACAAACAAATTACTAACTGGTGTAAATGAATAAAACTTTTCCAAAATCAAACTGCCAGAAAATAAACAGTCTTCCTAATAAAGATATAGGACACTTTATTTCTAAGTATGCATAAAGGTTTCACTACGAAACAACTATGATTGCATCCTGTCTTCAAACTAAAAACAAGACAAAATTCCAAGACAAATGGAATTGCCTGAACTTTACAATGTTAAAAGTGTCTTTTTTTTTCTTCTGGTTGTTAGGCTGAATAAACCCTATTTAAAGCTCGATATAAGCCCTACCTCATTTATTTATGTAGATACTGATGTACACAACCTCTGGATTTTTTTCCAGGAAAGCTTACTAAATTGTTATTGGATATATTTTTATTTAGTTGGAAAGAAATTATGATCAAGAATTAAAATGTCATGGTCATGTAATAAATACACTAATAGATATGAGCAAACCCTAAAAAAAAAATCCCACTAATGGTTTAACAGAGTAAAATGGCATACATGTTTTCCTTTTTTTAACCAAGGATGAAAACATAAGGCATAATTTAGGAATTGCAATTCTTTTAAAAGCAGTAACTCACTTAGGTTTCTAAATACCCTCTGTCTACTCCATTCCCTTAAATCACGTTCTGAGAAGTTTGCCTCAATGTTTCAATCATCAAACTGGCTATTTTTAGCCTGCTGCAATAATTATAAATGAAATTATTTCTTTATGAAGAATATACTTTTATGTAAATATTTTTGCTATAACAGCAAATGTTTTGGATTTGAGAATATAATTTGGACTCATTAGGTACTTTTCTTTCTGTATTTCCCAAGAATGCTAACAAAGACATGTCTACAGGAATGCCTGAACTACTGGGACCATTCCATTTTGTCATCTTATTTTTATAAAGTACTCTCCTAAGGCAAATTTATAAAGCTGTACACTTAAAATATTAATATCAAAAACCAATTCGTCATAAAGACTTTTTCCTATGTCAAATTTTGTGGTATAAAGGCAAGTTTTGAAATGCTTTACAACAGCAAAATTGTATAAATCTCTAGGAATATCATTTACTAAGTACTCTTTCCAAAATAGAAAATTTAGCATAGTATAACAACCAAATACAACAGAAGATCTTCTAATGTAATCTTATGGAAGATTTGAAATAAAGAGTAATCTGAGTTCCTCAGAAGAGATGTGCTAAAGAGTAATCTAAATTCCTCAAAAGATGTGTTAAAGATATGTGCTGAGTAAAGATCACTTCTGTTTCACAAGTGATCTTTATGTGAACAGACAGTTGTATACTTTCTTATTTGAGATTCAAACTAGACAAAAACCCAGCCTTTGCTAGGGAGAATTTTTTGCATTTTCATATATTTCCTCCTGAAATTTCCTAACAGTCTGATCTATAAACCATGATGAGGAAAATTAAATTAGTGAACTCTTCTCATGTTCTTTTGGGCAACAGGCTTGCTCTATTATTTAGGCAGAGGGATAGGATTTACTCATTAAATCTCTGTAGGTCTTAGTTATGTCATCTAAAAAATGCAACAGCTTAATGGTCTAGACCTTTAAATTTCATGATTCAATAACTCTCTAGATAAAAGTGTGCTATTACATTTGCTACTAGAATTTACCCACTGTAATTACTTTATTGGTCTCCTGATGAATTTCTGCCCCAAGGGCTATAATCCCTAAAATGCCTTGATAAAGGAAAATGATATTAAATTATCATTCAGGTAAATATTGAAGTTAACACTATATGTGAAAACTAGAATGTACATGATATTGATGAGGGGAAAATTCCACTGGAGTAGAACTTACTATGAAACATGTCAGTGAATCAGTTCATATTCTATGAATTAATAAGGCATCAGTTTTTCCCTCTTTCTGTGACTTACCTACTGCATTTCTTTGAATCTATGATGCCACAGAATATAAGCTGCAATGTTATTTTACGGATCACCAAGAAAGAAAAAATACTTCCAGTAAAGCAATGGCATATAAACACTGTAAGTAAATCTCATATTTACAATACTAAAATGTTTTAAAAATTCCACACTTAGAAACAATGAAATAGAGCATAGGTAAAGATTTTTGACAAAATTGGTTAGTATAATCAAATAGTCAATACAAGCACTTGTCCTTTTGAGATAAGATAATTACCTAGCAGGAAGAACTGACAAGTTAAAATGTTAGCATACAAATATATAGAAAAACAATTCGGTCACCTTCCTTGTATAGAGGATGCCAAAATATTTATGAATTTGTTCTTGATTTGAAATGGGAGTGTACTTCAAGAACGTTCTTCTTTGGTTGCATAAGCTACAGCTTTAGAGCTTTCGTGTTAACAATTGTCAGAATGAGACTCTAGAAGACTAGGATCTTAAAATCATTTAGAAAATATTCAAACATTTTCCTGCTGATCTCACCTTGTCAGGTGCTCTGGAGACATTCACAGAAGTGTGATGTTATTTCACTGAAGTGTGACATTATGTATTTATTGTATAGTATAATGAAAAGAGCTCTGCCATTGTTACTATTACTGCTTTTATCTATAATTATTACTATTCCTTTCATATTTCCTCTCAAAGAGATAGAGTAGCAATACATGGTGAGAAGAGCAAATATGAACGCTGCCTCTGAACATTCCATCACCTGTGACAACCGTCTCTGACTGTGCATTGCGCCCCTCCCCTGAAAGCTCAGCTTGGCATCAGACCTCTTCACAATGCAGCACTCCAGGCAGCCAACATCAGTAGATCAGACTTGGCCCTATGACATAAAGCTATTTCATATCTCAGAGATAAGGCAATTTTTTCCAAAGATAGGAGAAGGATTCCTTATGTCCATCTACATAATAGCACAAACCTGCACAGAGGTGGTATGAATTGTTCCCAGGTATGACTTTGCTTAGGTAAGTATCTTTTCTTCATTCTGTTGTTAGAGCTCTAGCTGTTATTTTTCCCCCAGACATAAATTTAGAAAGAGGATAAAAATCCAAGGATGGGCTGTGGCATAATCTGACTCTTCTCAACCCAGGAAATTGCCTAGATGCCACTCTCTGCTAGCATAGCATGTAGGTGAAAACTCAGCTGCTCAAATCTGACTTTCCCAGTTTTGCAACTACAAAATCAGAATCTGAGCTGAACCTTAAATATTACCCAGATATTCTTGAGCTTGGGTGACTGCCAATTCCTCTCCTCTTAGAAGATACCTCAAGTTGTCACCCCTCTTTCCTGGCTCCTTCCTCCTACCCTCAGTCTCAATGGACTCCTCCTTCCTTCTGAGTGAGTAAAAACCATAGGATATTTACTTCTTAACTTTGATTTCCCTCTCATTTTGGCAGGGGATCCACCAGCCCAGCTGTCGCAGCCTCCGGGCTTTGAGTCACCCTGGCGCACTGAGATTTCCCAGCTACCCCTAGACACCATGTGACAGACGCAAGCCATTGCCACTGTGCTCTCCCCCCGCAATCCTAGAGCAGAATCCCAGAGCCAGGTCTTGTTTCACTCCACTGAGGTTGGGGAAGTTTGTTATACAACCATAACCTAACACCTGCTTATTTATTAATTCTGTTTTCTTGGCTCAGCACTAAAAGATGAAAACAAAACTGTTTACTTTCTCACTGCAACTCCCTCACCCATTTACAACTTCTCTGGCTCTTTCCTCTGACCCTGTGGCTTCTCTAAGAATAAGGTACATTTACTGTCCTTCATTTGCTCCTCAAATATGGTCCAACTGAAATGTTTCTGCCCAGGACACCAATGACCAAAGCTGGTAGATACAGTTCAGATTTTATTTATTCATTCTTCATGTTGCATTTGACCCTCTTATCATCCTGTCCTCCCAGACTCTTCTTTTCCCGTGACTTCGCTAACCCTATGCGCAGGATTTTTTCACTTTTCCTACTGGCTGTTCCTCAGTCTTCTCCCCAAGGATCTGCTGTCTCCATCTACTTCTGAGGTGATTCTCTTCCTATGATCTTGTCAAGTAAGCGGGCTAGAGATGTGACCTGTTCATTAGCCTCAAACGGAGCCCATATTGTGTACTTCCTCACAGCAGGCCAGGACTGTCTCCCTAAAGCCAGACAGCACCAAACTCAAATTGCTTTAAATGTAGTGCAAAGAAAGATGTTTTTAGCCAGTTAGAACCTACCTATTTTACATACTGGGAAACTACACTCATCTGTTCACGACAAAACAAATCCCATAACCACGAAAGACACCAAACTGCTCTGCCCCTTGCGGCCCTCTGAACCAAGTCTCCCACCGCGCTGCTAAGG